GCCCAGGACGGTCAGTTGTTCCAAGTATTGTGCTGACTCCGGCTTGAATTTTCCTTGAAATGGAACTCTACTAACTACTTGAAATGGATTCGAGTAGTTAGTAGAGCGTCTTAGATTGTATGGTATTGTCTCTGATGTATGGTAAGTCTCTAACCGCGTAACATATTAGTGAGAGGTGCGGGGTTACCATCAGGCGACGGAGCTCCGCAGTGGACGTCGCATCGGTTTTCCAGCCATGGCCAATGTTCAGCCCTCTGCCTCAACGTCAGCGTCTCCCACGAACACGGCGTCGCAACCATACGTTTTTACGCCACTTAAGGATCCCGGTACATTCTGCGGGACCGATAGCGTTGATGTTGACGATTGGTTATCCATGTTCGAACGAGTGAGTGTGCCGAACAGATGGGATCCCACACTTCAGTTGGCTAATGTACTGTTTTACTTGAGAGGCACGGCCAAGGTGTGGTATGAAAACAACGAAGAGGAACTCACAAGCTGGGACCAAGGCAAAGAAAAGATGCGAGAAATGTTTGGCAAAACTGCGAGTCGCTAGATCGTGGCCAAAAAGGAATTGGCCTGCCGTGTACAATCTCCCATGGAATCCTATCCTGCACCTCCACCAATATGTTACGAGCTTACAGACTTTTGTACAAAATGCGTTTACAGAGGAAAATTCACAGGCAAGAGTCACAATGGCTGATTGGCACCCTCGCGCCCCTATCAGCTGCTTGAGCTCTTCCTCTTTCTTCACTTCATCTCCGTGACAGTATTAAAGAAAGCGCAGCGTTAAACCAAATAACATCTCCGCTCTTCTGTGAAGCGTATTCATAGAAGAGCGAGGCGGCAATTAAGAAAAATTTTAGGCGTGTCAGTGTTAAGGCCATATAAGTAAAACACCGAGCGCTTTCTACGTTAGAAGGAATGAATCTGCAATGTTTGGCTGCCAGCGCAAAGAGGGCGAAAAACCTGGAGTTAGAGGTTTTCTTTACGCTGAAATCACACAAGGAAGACATGCCTTTCCGGGCTATAGTCGCGGAAAAAGGGAGCTGGCAGTTAGATGTTTCGCGTTTGCTGCAAAGGAACCTAGCACGCCTGAATATTTTTGACCCTTTCCAGATACTGAATTCGGATTCTGTATGTGAGTACCTAAAAAATAACTCGATGAGCTTATGTAGCGCCTTCAGCATCGATGTGGAAAATTTATATTATTCCCTTCCGCATTGCCAGGTTATGAAATGCGTAAAAGCCTGCATTGTGTTTGACTAATGATAAAGAATCTTTCATCGATGGTTGCGGCATTCTTTAGATTCATTTCTTGAACTTTTGCCGTTTTACCTGGAGAGTACCTTTGTGTCAGTGGTGAGGGGATCTTTATGTACAAAAGTCCGGTGTCTGCATAGGGTCGTGCAGTGGCCCCTATTATTAGTGACATTGTTTTAGGCTACATTGACAGGCAGCTGGAGAATCACCTTAGTAAGTGCTGCAGTGCCGTTTTTCGTTATGTTGACAATTTCGTAATTTTTTCCCACAGTGACATTAACCATAAGGACATTGATCACATTTTCAAGTTGTTCAGTCAGCATGATCTCACCTTCACTCACGAAGTCTGTAAGAATTACGAGCTACAGTTTCTTGATCTAAAGCTAACCTTTGGTAAAAATCATGTGCGTTGGAAATATGGCCCAAGATCAGTGTAGCCTATCTTAAACTACAATTCTCGCCATTCTAAGGTTGTGAATGGAGCGTTTGCAAAGACAATCTTAAATGCATCGCTCAGGAAATCCTGTGTGCATGTGTCGAATACTACTTTTCATAACTAGGTAAAACGCTTAGTAGATGCTAGGTATCCTGACTAGGTGATTTCGTGTGTGTGTGAGTTGATAGTTCGGAGCGTTAAGCTCGAGAAACACAGAGGAGCTCAAGCGAAATGTGATGAAAAAAGAAAGGCAGTTTTTCTTTAATGACACAAATTGGCGCACAGGCTGAAAAGCGAAGGTTCAAGGTATGGCGTCGATGGTCTTTTTTCCGCAAAAGATAAGGTTGGTCGCATTTGCTCGATGGTTGATAATGCGCTGAAGAACAAACAAGCCAAAGGGAGATGCGCTGTGAATCATAAGAACAAGTACATTGCATGCGTAAAAAAAGCTGTGTATTTAACTTCATTATCGTGTGGTAGGGAGTACGAGGGACAAACGAAACGATGTGTGAGTGTTTGTTTAAGGGAACATAAGTTATCTCTTCAAGGGGTCGTGCGACTTCATCTACCGGAACATTGCAGGTCACGCGGTTGTCGTCCAACTTTTGAGAAAGCCACCATTATCTTCAAGCATCCTAACCATCGAAGAGAAATCGCTGAGGCATATCATATAAAGATTAGGGGTAGCAAGTGCATTAGTGAACCATCTGTCACACTGCATGAAAAATAATAAGTTATTTAGGCCAATCTTGATTATTGCAATAAGTGTGACAATGCTACCTCGGTGTACCTTTAGTTATGCGCATGGCATGATGTAGGCTGCCAGTACCTATATATATACATTTCACCCGTTTTTTTCCAATAAACAACAGTTATGAGTCATCGCCGTCTTTTCTTCCTCTTTTGCTTTTTTCCTGTCCTGTGTTTTCCAATGTTGCACTGTAAATAAGTTCACGATGTACCTAAGATGGCGGCTGTACAAATGGGGCCAGCTGTCTATGAATACAAACCACTAAGAGCAGTCATGTTTTTCAGAGGCTCAAATGCCTTGCCGCAAAGCTTGCCATATACTTTGTACAGCTCTCCTGCGGACCGCGGCAGCCGATGGTAAACGGCACCACACCGTTACGGCAGACTTGTCGCTAGCGGGAGCGGGACTTTGCACATAGGCGTATAGCACGGGATACTCCATCTGCATGGTGCAGATACACAAATAGGCGGTAGAGATACGAGCAGAGAAAATGCATCATGTAACCAACGCAATCAATATCCCATAGTTCTCTCAAGCAGACCGACTAAGTCCAGAAAATGTGTGGCTATAGCACTTAAGATACCCGCCATTAGCCACTGTCACTATTTGAGATTTCATAGATTCTCGCAGTGCATGATCAACTAGGCTACCCAATTTTATGTTTAGCTTCACTGCTTTTATAATACCTTATTTATTGAAAACATAAACAAGATGAATGAAAACGTGCATGCAGCCCGTCTTCGAAGAACACCTTTTGTCTCAAATAAATTCACTTGGAATGATCGTTTTCTTTACAAAACGATTCCCACTCACCAAAAAGACATCATTAGTGCCATCTAGCCAAACTTAGAAGAGAAAAAAGGCATTTTATTTCGTTTTTTTGGCGCAAGAAATGTCTCATTCGCACTAGTGACCTGACTCTGGAAACATTATCTTTGACATTTTTGTTCTAACAAAAATGATGCAACAAGTTTTTCATAATATAATTCTGTAGCCCTCTGAGAACATTTTGTAGGATTTTGAACAAAATTGAGAGTATATATTTTTTTATATTGCATTTTGAATTCGAAGAACACTTTGATCTTTTGGATGATTTGAGCATAATAATTTATTACTTTAAAAATTAATATACAAATACAAATGCACACGTTGCTTGTTCACATAAAGTTCTATTCATACTGCAAATAAGAACTACCCAAAGTGTACGCAGAGGTAGCCGCAGTGTCCCAAAATCGACTCACTTTAAGAATGCAGCGTTTTAGGGCAATTTTTAAAAATAGTTTCCTCAAAACTTAATAAAACAATGAGAACTACTTCTTCTTTACTTCTATTTCTGTAAAAAAAATTATATTTGTGGTATATAGTAGCACCAGTTTCTGTAGGCATGGTCGCGAACTTCAAAAAATGCGCTCTTGTAAAATGGTCACTGTCAACCGGCAACGCTTGTCGAATTTTCTTCAGTTGAAAAAAAAAATTGATTTGAATATGAGTTGCAATTTCACGCTATTCAGTCTTTTGGGCATAACATGCAAAATTATCAGAAAAATCGGAGACATCAAGGATACCATGTTTTCAATCTTTCACGTGATTGACTAGTGGCCAGGACTGGGATGGGGGTTTAATGTGCTCAACAAAGCATGCAAAAAGATAGTTGAATGTGCAAAGAACATCATGTAAAAAAATAAACTTTCCGGCAAAACTTGTTACGTCGAAATGACGGGAACGTGCATCAACAGAAGGCTGCCGGAGCACAGACAGAATGTTGGCCTCTTGCCAGCTCCGGGGCATCAGGCAACAGCGAGCACCCGTGCAGTCCTTCGTTTAAAAAAAAAAACGACATTGAGCTTTCAGGTCAAGCAAGTATACAAAAAGGCAAGTCGTCGAAGCCTAAATTATTGAAAGGGCTTTCAAGGGTGCTTGTGTTAGCACTTTGTTGGTAGCGCTTAGCCACATGGAAATTAAGCTAATAAACAATGCTGGATGGGGTCGGTATTTAGAGCATCTTGCATGACATGGTCACTCTGTATTTCTTGTTCATTACCATTTGAGCAGTTGCTGTAGTTTGTGCTGATGTATTTCGTATATCTTTCCTCGCTGTATGCAGTTAGTTTTGCAAGTTTGCACTAGAAAAGTGGTTCACTGGGCATATTTGTACATTTGAACCTGCAAATCGTAGTGCGGAACACTTATTCTGCCTGTCATGGAATCTTTCTACAAGTTGGAAACTGACCAAAGTGAAGCACTTATCTGAAGGTTGCAGGTTTCGTTTCTGCTGTCGATAGGTTATACGTTTGATACTTGTCTCGTGATTACTACAAAAGACATCCCCTACAATTTTCTTGGCATTGTTCATTAGTTCTGCTATATATTTTAATGTGCATAGTCAGTTGCACAATATTATCAATTTCAACTCATCAAATCACAACTAGGTATTTCTTCAAAAACTGATATTCGTAGTTGCATGCGTTGTGTAGTCAAAGCATCGGTGACCGTTTTTTTTTTTCGGAGGCAGGCAAAATATTGTGTGCCAAATGTTCTTGCTTCTGAATGCAGGAGGCTAACATGAGGGCATCCTATTCTCGGGATTCACTGGAGCCAGGCAGATACTGCGCGCTGGTGAGTGGGCACCTGTTATTTTCATTGCAAACATCTGAAGAGCGTTGTTTTTCAATGTACAGACAATTTGTTGCATTGTGCTCATCTCAGGTGGTTTTTCCTGTCCCTGAACATTCAATGTGCAAATGAAAAAAAAATAATCTTTCTGTGTCGAAGAGATGCCAATATGTGTCTAGCAAGTCTCTAATGATCTGTATGCTGTGGTCTAGTTCTGTTCATTCAAAGCATTCAAGATGCTTTATTGGTGTTGCTAATTGTTAGAAACAATGCGTCGAAACTGGTGGCTTCTTGTGCATTCACCTAAGACTGCTTGAAGGCGAATGCCATCCAATGCTGTGGCTTTACGTTGCAGTTTATACAAATGTGCTACATTCATAAAATAACTCTTGCTAATTAGTTGTGAGCTCTAATTAGCTCACAACCCACTAAATTTGCCTTGATTACCATTAAGTGCAGTCGAACTTACCTATAATGGTACCGTTTTTAACTATATATCGACAATAATGAAAAGCTGTGTCACCATGAACATTTGTATGTTCTATATGATGAAATAACCCGTTTACAGCGATGTGCCCATGCCACATTATCGGTTATTGCAATAAATTCTGGCTGCTGGCTGTCCGTGCCAAAAGGTAACAGAATGTGAAATCCTTCAAAAGGAGGAAGAGAACGAGAAATTCAGGCTGCTCTACCCTCACCCACAACCCCCACGTATTCCAGTACCGTTTCGGATTTATGGTATGCTTCGCCACATAGCGTCCTGGTATTGCAGCAAAGCTGTCTTTTAACTTGATAGATTGCATTGTTAGTATTTGCAAATATCCGCCAAAGGCGGCTATCCGGTTAAACCGGAGAAAAGTGAATTTGGCCTTGAAAGCTGGTTATCTGGATTAAAGAAACGAGAATTCTGCTGATCCGGTTCGAATAAACGTACAACCTGTTATTCAAATATTCGAGAACGAGTATTCAGTCTCGATAAAAGCTTATTCGAAATTTAAGTGCAATTCCATGTGCACCGTCACAACATGCGGAGCTCGGTATTTCATTACTGACGTAATGACTAATGGCCCATGCAGAGGCTTCCCGTTTGTCAACTGTGAATGCACTTTCGCACCCTGCGGACACTCATAACTAATGAAATGTTTCTGAATTGTAATCACTAGCTACCTTTAAAGAGGCATTATAACTAGTGACTCACAGTAATGTCGCCACACTTCAGTGCCATGAATGCGCTCGAGTAACTTGCCGTTGTGTACATCAAGGAAAATTTCCTTGAAGGCGTAATGAAACGATCGCTATAGCACAGCGTCAAGTTAAGTATCACTAGGTGACTCACCGGACGTCACCACTGATCACTGCCATGAAAGCACTTGCGCAACCTGCTTACATGCATGCCGAATGCAATGGTTTTGAAGGGATAATAAGTCGATCGCTAGTTATATTTCAGGTGATGTTTCCACTAGTGACTCGCCTGAAGACACCACTGTTGACAATTATGCATGTACTCCCGCAATCTGCTGACATATTTATCGAACGAAACAGCTTTGAAGGGTTAATGAATTGACTAGCATGGCGTCATACGACGCTATCACTAGTGATTCACGTGTCGTCACTACACTTTCTTCACTGCTGTAAAGGCACTTGTGCATCCTGCCGACATGCATATCAAACGAAACGTCTTTCCAGGTATAATAAATCGATCACTAGAAAAGTGTCAAGTGCGGTTGTCACTAGTGACTCGAATGACGTCACGACTCTTCACAATAATGAATTAACTGCCGCAACCTGCCGATATGCATTTCAAATAAAAGTTATTTCAAGGGGTAATATACCAAACACTAGCACAGCGTCAAGGGAGGCTATCACTAGTGACTCACGTGACATCACCACGTTTCACTGTCATGAATGCGCTCACGCAGCCTGCCAACATGCATATCAAACGAAAGTTATTTTATGGGGTAACAGATCGATCATTAGCAGCAGTAACGATGACCTCATCACTACTGACTCCCGTGCCATCACCATGCTTCAATTTCATGAATGCACTCACGCAACCTGCCGACATGCTTATCAAACGAAAGCTATTTCATAGAGTAACAGACCGATCATTAGAAGTAATAAGGGTGACCTTATCACTAGTGACTCATGCAGCCTGCCGACATGCATATCAAACAAAAGGTACTTTAAGTAGATTGATCACTAGCATAGTGTCAAGTGAGGCTATCACTAGTGCCCCATGTGGTGTCACCACCCTTAATGTCATGAATGCGCTCATGCAACTTCCGACATGCATATCAAACAAAAGGTATTTTAAGGGGTAATAGATCGATCACTAGCATAGCGTCAAGTGAGGACATCACTAGTGACCCGTGTGGCGTCACCAAGCTTCACTGTCATGATTGCACTTTTGCAACCTGCCGACATGTGTATCAAACGAGAGGTGTTTCAAGGGGTAATAGACCGATCACTAGTATAGCGTCAAGTGAGGCTGTCACTAGTGGCTCATGTGGAATCGCCACGCTTCACTGCCATGATCGCACTCATGCAACCCAGAATCATGTATATCAAAGGAAAGTTATTTCAATGGGTAATAGATCGATCAGTGGCAGCATTTCAATTGACCTTATCATTAGTGACTCACGTGTGTCACCACTCTTCACAATCATGAATGAACTCCCGCATCCTGCCGACATGCATAACAAATGGAATGTAATTCAAGGGGTTATACACCTGATCACTAGCATAGCATCCTGGGAGGCTGTCACTAGTGACTCAGGTAACGTCACCTTGCTTCACTGTCATTAATGCACTCGCGCAGCCTGCCCACATGCATATCAAACGAAAGCTATTTGAAGGGGTAACAGACCAACCACTAGCCCAGTGTCTAGTGAGGTAATCACTATAGTGGCTCATGTGACATCATCATACTTCACTGGCCCCGCCGTAGTGGTCTAGTGGCTAAGGTACTCTGCTGCTGACCCGAAGGTCGGGAGATCGAATCCCAGCTGCTGCGGCTGCATTTCTGATGGAGGCGGAAATGTTGTAGGCCCGTGGGCTCAGATTTGGGTGCACGTTAAAGAATCCCAGGTGGTTCGAAATTTCTAGAGCCTTTCAATACTGGCGTCTCTCATAATCATATGGTGGTTTTGGGACTGTTAAACCCCACGTATCAATCAAGCATACTTAACTGTCATGAATGAACTTCCGCAACCTGCCGACATGCATACCAAACCAGAGGTATTTCAAGGAGTAATAGACCGATCACTAGCATAGTGTCTAGTGAGGTATTGACTAGTGACTCACATGGCATCACCACGCTTCATTGTTATGAATGCACTCACGCAACCTGCAAATGTGCATACGAAACGAGAGGTATTTCAAGGGTTAACAAACCGACCACTTGTAGCAATTCAGGGGATCGTATCACTAGTGACTCACGTGCATCATCTTTCCCCACAAATATGAATGAACTCCCGCAACATGCTGACCTGTATATAAAACTAATGGTATTTCAATAGGTAAGAACCCGATCACCACTAGTACAACTTTAGGTAACGTTATCACTAGTGACTAACGTGATGTGACCAGTCTTCACAATCATGATGTACTCATGTGACCTGCCAACAACGATATCAAATGAAAGGTAATATGATGTTATTACTTTGCCAAGAACAATAACCTGAATAACTCATACAAGGTGATGTTGCCAGGAGTGACTCACGTGTATGTGATGTTACAAAAAATGTTCGCCGCGGTGGTGTAGTGGATACGTTGCTCGGCTGCTGACCCAAAGTTCGAAGGTTCAATGCCGGCCGCGGAGAATCACATTTCGATGGAGCCGAAATGGTAGAGGCGCGTGTACTGTGTGATGTCAGTGGAAGTTAAGGAACACGTGATGGTCAAAATTTCTGGAGTCCTCAACTACAGCGTCTCTCGTTATCCTATCCTGCTTTTGGAACCAACTACTATTATTATGTCACCAAAACTTCTATCTAAGCATCCCTTCTCGCAGCCAGCCGACATAAGCTGCGAATCTCAAATTAGAAGTCCTTTAGCCATGAACTACTCAAAAGGCCCCGCTGTGCCATGTCCGCACTTCGCATGAGGTTGAAGATGGGTGATACTTGTTCTACTTACCTATTTGTATTTCTGATGGTACTCCTCTTAATTCTGTTATAGTTTGCTAGTGCTGGTTCAGAGTATGCCAAATACGAAAATGTCATACCATCGTGGCGGCACGTTGTGGGTTAAACATTTTACTTGCTCAAGTAAATAAGTGAATATTGTAACGTCAAGAGATTAGCAAATTCGTTAATAGAGGTCTTGCAAGCAGAAGAAACCTGTGTGGCAACTAACACAGCACGGTCTCACCATACTTATGCCACCTGTTAAGCAGCACTGCTCCAATATGAACTCTGCGACGCACAGCGCTTAGTATTGAATTGAATTGTTTAGTCACAACAACAAAGTTGTGAGGATGACCAGGCAAAAAATCTGTATTGAGCAGCTTGAGGGGAACCTGGCCACCTCATACACTGGGCAGCTTCACAGCGGTCACACAAAAACATGGTATACATCATGAATGAACTAACCTAAAAAACACAAAAACAGTAAACATCCATGGTCGGAATAAATAAACAAGGTCGTTATAGAAACATTTGAAAAAAAGGGGAAAAAAGTAAGCGAAGTGCTAAAGACAGAGAAAAGGTCAAACAAATAAGCCCTTAGCAGCACAAGTAATCACATAAATACGTCGCGCAGCTTTTTTAGCGACAGAGTTGATACACTGAGACCATTTTCTTTGTGTAGTTGATTTAGCACAGTAGGTAAACAGGATTGTAACATTTGGTCACCGTATGTAGTTCTGTTTTTGTTAACAATCCGAGGCTCGGAATGACGAAACTTATAAAAAGAATTATGTTACTGCAAGGATGCCAATTTTGTTAAAGCGTTATCATTCTTAATTTTTTCCATTCTATACATGCGACATAGCCTATATG